AAGGCCTGTCTCCCTCTCATCGTCTCTGCTCTCAGATTCATTCTGGCAGCCAGGGCCTGACCCCAAGGAGGCCAGGAGGGGAAGCCTTTCTTTACTTTCAATGGGCTTTGAATAAAGCCTCAACTGCTTGGAGGCAAGGGAGCTTCGGCAGTTAGATAGTTTTGCCTCCTTACTCCAGTCTCTGGAGATGCAGTTTACCTGCGAGGAAGCTGCTGCTCTTCAGTCACACCTGCACTCTGGGTCTCTCAAGAGAAGGGTTCTTCCCTGCCTGCCTGGAGCATTGGGATCTCTTCATACTCACACACTGTGTACACTGGGACCCCACAAATGACTGCTCTCATCTGCCTTTTCTTCCTAAGAGAAAAGGGACAGAGCTATTACTTCTCATTTTCCCCCAAGCTAGCTGAAGGTAGTTTTAAAGGGCGTGTTTTGAGATGCTTAGGCTTCCCCACTGCAGCATGCAACACCATGGAATAACACAACTTCTTCTGTCTTCCAGTAGGCAATGGTACTAAGCTGCCTTTTCAGTTCTCCTCTGTGGGACAGAATCCGCCTGGTGACTTCAGCAAACAATCTGATGGGAGCCTCTTCACTAAGACCGGTACTAGGCATTTAGTTTTTTCTCCTTCCCTCTGCCCCTTTTTTAGGTGATAAGACATTTAATCCCGCTCTTGCTCCCCCACAGAAGGCCTGGAGCAGTCCTATGCCTGTCCCCTATCTACTGCCCGGACTGTCAGTCTCTTAGATACGCACACATATTTACATGAGCAACTTACTCTGCTGAACTCGGGCAAGAGGAGTTTATTAAAGAGTGTTAAAAAATATTAAAAAGTTATACCTAGTGAATAGTTGAAGGAGTTTTAAGTTTTGTTTATAATGGGTAGAGATGAGATTTTTTAGATGATTTTAGAGGCATAGGGACCAGACTAAGAAATTATGTTCATGGCCATTTACCCCTCTAACTTCATCAGTGTTTTAAAACAGCTATCATCCTGAAAGAATAATAGCCATTGAGCACAACCTTTAAAAAATATATGCAGTAGCTGCCTGTCCTCCTTCATCTGAACCAGAATCCCCCATTCACTGTCTCATAATCCTCTTTTCACTACCCACTAGTTCAAGGGCACCAGAGGTGGAATCCAAGAGCATCAGCACCTGGCAAGCAGAGTCAGGTCTGATTAATTTGTGAATGGGAGATGGTGGGGAAAGGCTATTGCCTGATAGCGCTGAAACTGGTTGTGATGCAGCAGGGCTGGTAGTATTTTTGAATCAGAATGGAGCTGGTGCAGTAGAAGGGGGTTAGGGCTTATCACGCTGCCAGAGGAACTGTCATTAATTTCTGACATGAAACGCAGACCTTAATTAAATAGCCTATAGTGTTCTTTGCAAGAGTCAGAATGCTTAGTTCAGGACTTGGCCTAAAATTTAATTGGACTGATTGCATTCCACCTCTCTGCATTCCTCAGACATTTTAATTAGACAGACTTTCTTTACTCCCTTTTCCTAACTGATTGGGTGGTGGAATAGGCATCTGTCTGATGGCTGTTGTGTCCCAACCCAGAAATGGCTGCATTTCAATGTTAAGCAATGCAATACTAATTATGTGGCACTTCCAGTCCTGCTACTCTCATCTTGATGCTCGCAAGGGGAGACGGGGATGGTGGCAGGGACCAATCTATAACAGGCTGTTTTATGTTGTCACAGCTTATCCTTCAATAGTGAGACATCAGTCTGCAAAGGCGACGCCACAGACATGGAAATCCTCTAAGCAGTCTGTATTGGTAAGAAATATACCCTTGGTGTGAAAGCATGTGCACAGCTTCAGCAAAAGAACTATCTGTTCTAGGCATACCTGAGACTTCAGAGACTAGCACTTGGGTCCTTTGGAGATGGGAAAGTAAAAGCTTCAAGTCAACAGCTTCTATTATTTTTTCTCATGGTTAACTGCATCCACAGAGGGATGCCAATTAACACCCCTGTCTCTGCAGCTCTAGGTGGTAGGAATAATCAATACTTCAAAATGACATTTTGAAAAGGTTTTGCCCTGTTCTAAAATTTGATCCAGGCTTCTAGAAGCTATACAAATACTACAGCACACATGCTGCTATCTGTAGTACTTTTCCTCCCTGCAGGGATATTGTACACTCTTAGTAGTCTGTGACACCCAGAAAGCACAGATCGTGTAAATGAAACTAAAGACAACCGTATAAAAGTATCTTGCTAATTACATCCTACAGTGAGCAGATGCAATATCAAAGATGAGAGGTCAGACTATGATTGTAAGTCACTAGAACACCTGTAAGTCACTCATTTTGCACTGTTAGCACAAAACAGGTAACAGTGCATTATAAGGGACAGAGGACAGTGATATTTGAGGTCTTGTAATCTCAAATATACAAGGTTAACAAGCAGTTAATGCATAACCACAGCAACATTAAGTTCATCTATTTTTCTTAACATCCATTCACACGGTGCTGCATTAAGATCTTGCATGATCTGAATTAAGATCATCAAGTTTTTGCACCCCTCTCCACAGATGAAATCTATTTTTTGAATTCTGATTATACATTTGTGAAAGATTATTTACTGTTGCCTGGAAATAAGACTTGTAAGAAGCAGAGGGTCAAGAATCAAGAACATTCCTACACTGAAGGAAGGAAACAGAGGAAAGACACAACAGTTAGAAAGTGGCTGCCTAAGGACTGCAGCTGTACATCTCTGCTAAATTTTCAAGGCTCCACCAGGAGATGAATGCCTGTGAAAGGGATGTTCCCTGGTAGACTGCATCACTTTCAGAAAATCCAGCCTTGAGTCTCTGAATGTGCTACAGCAAAACATGTGTCCTAGGAGCAGCAAAGTTTTGCAATATCTTCTGTCTTGTGTTTGATCACTGCCTTTCTAAAAGATCACCTACTTCATCGTGCGTGTGCTCAGATGGAGACTCTTCCCAGTGATTGTAGATACCAACCTATCCTCCCTAATGGTGGTGTTAACACCAGGGAAGCCTGGTCAGGAGAGTGAAGTCACTGTTAGCACTAGTGGATGTGAATAGGGTGGTCTTAGCAATAAGCACCCCACTGCACAACAGTCAGTGTGCTGTGCTCCATGAACACAACCCATGCTTTCCTTAATCCCCATAGAGAAAGCCTGTGTAACTTCTCCCACGTGAAGTCACCAGTATTTTTCTGTCTCATGCATACACTTGGAGTGGCTATTTTATTTTTATAGTATATTCACCAGATAGCCCTGAACCTAACAATTGAGTTGAGAAATACAAGCATTAAAAAGTCCCAAAATAGAAATACACGCTCTGGACTGTAGTAGCTCTGCAGGAGCTTTTATGGTCTACTGGGCCAATAACCTAGGCTTTAAAATGGTGTTAAATATGTATTTAAGTAATACACATTCTAAAAGTTCTGTAAATACGAATTTTCACAAAGGACTATAGTGTTTAAGGAGGAATGTCTTTTTAACCCACAGAGAGTTCTTTAAAATGAAGCCCCCCTCTTCCATCTCTTAATTATATTGGAAATTAAAACCATAAAATGAAAAGAATTTCAACAAAAGGGAACACTAAGCAGGTGGTTTTTGGACTCGGCGCTGAGCAGCAAGATGGGTTGGGTTTGCTCTGTCCATGCTTCCAGGCTCCTGCCGTGCCTGATATTAACTAGTGCGCTGCACAAAAATGTACCAGCGTGTTCCTATGAGGTCTCTCCCACCTTCTGCAAGTGAGATCTGGGCAGTGGATCAAACCTAAGACAGATCAGACATTACAAAACCAGAGTTGTTCCTGATTGCCTTGGTCACTGCCTCATTGGTGTAAGCGTATTCTCATCCAGGCTAGAGATTCTGCCTTGAACAGGGCAATCAGCTATCACAATCCATAAAATGGCTTTCGTGTTTTGCAATCATCCCAAGCCAACACCAGGCTGCACAACACAACTTTGCCACATGTTGCTTATTTATAATGGTGCAGATAAGAATGAAATTCCAGGGATAGGTCCTGATGAGAAGAGATACAATTACAACCTGCAGTAAACAGAACTGGAGAGACAGAAAATGGCAATTCCTTTAGGCTCTGCCCCTGTCTCTCCACTACGCTTCTGTTTACACAAACATTTAGTCCTGGACCCTGCAACATGCGGAGGTGTGAATAAACAATAGACCATTGTGTGAGAATTTCCATGCACAGGAGTTTTGGCTTGCCAGCCAGAGAGCACAAGTAAATACCATGTGATTTAGTTGATTACTCACATGACTGTACATGGCTTTAAGTGTGAAAACTCCCATGAGTTCTCAGGTTAGTGCGCAATTAAAAGACACTGACAGAAGCATAAAAAGAAAGGTGACATTCCTCTTCTCCCAGAAACCTCTCATCAAACCATGAGTCATAGTCTGAGATTTTATATGATGCACAGACTCATTTGGCTCAGGAGTGAGGTCCATGCAAAGCATGCGTATAAATCAAAAAGAAACACCATTTGCATTTGATCACTCCAGCACCTCCAGCAGTGAGACGAGGCAGTGTTGCTCTGCAAGAGGAAAGACTGAAGGTGTTAAGATAGCAGTATGTTAAGATATGTATGGTTGGGCTACCTAGGAGGGTGAAATAATAGGCGGTCAGAAAAAAAAAGGTAGGTCAAACTCACATGCCCCAAATTCTCCATTGCAGTCACATTACCGCCCCTTTTACGTCAACAAAGGCAATGGAGCCACTTCCAACGAGGCACCCTGATTCCTGAAGATGTAGGGAAGAGCTGGCAGCAATTGGAGTGAAGACTCAGCTGCGGATTTTCATGGATGTACCTGCTACTATGTTAACCTTACTGCTCTAATCTCTGCCAGGGAGAGGGAAGGTGCAGAAGGGAATAGCCTTTACTAGAGGAAACAAGGACTTTTTCCAAATCACCTATTCACCTTGAAAGCTCTGCAGACCTTAACAACATAATCCCATCGTCTGCTTTCACCTCCTTATTCCCTCTCTGCCAATGCCATTCCCTTTGCTTCTGCAGGGCGAGCTGCTCTGCTTCTCCTGGGAAGCACGCACGCTTGGGTCGCACACCCTCCCCACTCTGCTGTACCAGTTGCCCCCTTGTCCTGAGTGTGTTTAAATGACCATAGCTGTTAAGTCCTGGTGAAGGTCCCAAGCTGGGACAGGGGGGAAAAGGTCTTCCTGGAATGGAAGATTCCTCCTCCCTCTCCCTCTGGGAGCCACTGGGAACAGTGACAGACTAAAGCTCTTCCCATGCCTCTCTACCCTGTCACCTGGCCCTGCCTCAGATGGGGACACACAGCTCGCACTGGGATCAGGTGCAGCACTGCCAGCCCCCCGAGGTCCCCGCAGACTCCCCCCAGCCCATGCCGGTGCCAGCACGCTTCCTCAGGGCCTGTGTCAGCTCAGCCCTGCTCCTGCTGCCTTCCAAAAAGCCATCCAACAGGAGCTGTTCAGAGCTGCTACAGCCCCAGGCCAGATACTGGTGGAGGGCAGAGAGGCTTTCTATCCCATTAAAGTACCCCTCCAGCCACCTTTTGAAATTAAGAAATAAAAAGAAAATCCATCCTACTAATATGATTGATTAGATGCCATAGGTGTTGGGTACTTTTTTGTTTTGTGGTAGTTTTTTAATTCCCCTAAACCAAAATTGATTTATGTACTGTGGTTCAGGTATTTTTTTTTCTGCAATAGGCAATGAGAATTAGTACCATAGCTTTTTGCTCAGGATAATATTTTTTATTTGTCCCCTGGATAGATGAATCACTCCAGCACCCAGCCTCCAAACCAGCCAGGGCTGGTTAACCTTTCCATGATCTCACTGAGATTATTTTCCTTCCCCTTGGACGAAGCTGAGAGGTTAGGTCCATGCTATGCAAAAACCTCCCCAGGCCAGTCAACGGGAGCAGACGGCCCATTGCAGGATCTGAGCCCTCAAACAGTGATAAGCAGCTGCCAGAGAACCAAGACCTAACAGCTACTTTTCATGGCTTGCTCTGTTCAAGCGGCTTTTGGAATGGCTTGCCCCCACCTTTCCTATCCCCAAATGCTTGCAACAGCTTGCTGAGAGAGGTCACACCTACCGCTCCCTGACGATTACTTTCTTGCTAATCCCTGTGCAAAGATACTCGCTGCTTTTTAATCCTACACCTCAGACAAGACTTTTCAGGCTGAAAGTTGGTTGCTCCAGAATATACTTGAAATGGCATTTTTTTTCCTTAATGACCAGAGGGGAAGGGAATAGCATGGTAGGGAAGAACGTGAAGAAAGGGAAACTGGGATAGAGTTGCCAGGAAATACACTGAAGGGTTTGAGTATGTATTTGAAATGATAAAATACCCTCCCCCAGATCTCACTGTTTGTTTTGCCCCTGAGCAGGTGTCCAGAAATCACCTGGGTCCCTTATGTTCCACAAAAAGCTTCTACCGCCTCCCTTCTATTTTCCAAAATGTGGGCATGATCCCTCCTCTGCCTCCAAAACCTGGATATTAAAATGCCCCCCTTCTTTCCTACCCTAAAGAAAGCCTGCTGTGGTGTCAGCTAGGACCCGTACACAAATGACCGCCCGAGGAAGCGAGTGTCCCCTTCTTCCCACCGTCCCCTGCCCGACGGCTCTGCCCTAACCCACCCCTGCAGCCCCCACGGCCCGTTTGCTCCCCTCCCTCTCCTCATTTCAAGGGCCTCGCTCAGACCTCGCACACGACTTGTCACTCCGGCGACAGGAACGGAGCTGCTCCCCGGTTGCGTTAGCCTGGGAGGACACCAGACCTCCCCGTAGCCCTTTGCCCCGGTAGAGGCGTGCGGGATGGGGCACAGCTCCGGCCCTGCTGTACCTAGCAGTCCCAGGGAATAAGCAGTGCGGCTTTGAGGTGTATTGTGCATGAACTGTTTTTATCGTGTTTGTCTTGATCAGCAAAGCAAGAGGAATTCCACCTCCTCAGACAGGACGCGACTGCGCTGATGTAAACGAGGCCCTTCACATGTGCAACATACTGCAGAAATAAAGGAGAAAGCTCCATGTCTGACCAAAACCAATGAGGATGAGGTCTGTCTTTGGTGTTTGTATGCTTGTAGGAGTCTCAGTGAGGTTAAGTCTCTTCAAAATATTCTTTATGCGAGCAAGGGGTTTGGAGAAACCTGTTTTCCCAGCTCCTAGAGGCTTTCTTTTCACTGCTTTCTGGATATTTTGAGTCAAGGTCATGTCAACTCAGAGAAAATTCCCACATCCTTGAATGTCAAAGTCAGACTGATGGATGCACTTCTAGCATAATACCTTGAGACTGCCCTGCAGATGTGCCCAACTAGGTCAGTTCCCAAACACCGGTGCCACGCAAGTCCTTCCCTGCAAGGGCATTTCTGGAAACCCCTCAGCCTGTGGTTGTTCATGATTTCAGCGCCTCTCGCCTCCCAGACTTAAACCTTATCAGTTCCCACTGGAGGAAAGCACTTGCTTATATATGCACTGGCCAAAATCAGCCTAGGAGAGACCAGGCTGCGAGGAGACCAGCTGAGCTGAGGCACTGTTTTGTCCCAGCCTGGACCGGAGTCTCCCCAGGGAGGTTGGTTCCTGGCACCATTGGGACCTTCCACCCACCTGATCCCTTCTGGGGATATAGGCCTCCGGTTCTGCATGGCTCAAATTTCTTGCCTATATCATGGCTTCTCTTGTCCCCAAGGGAGAGAATCGATCCCTTGCAGGCAGCTGAAGATACGGATTCAAGGCCAGACACACATAGGGGTAGCTCTGACAGCCACTTAAAAGAGCAATTGTACATGTGAATCTATGGGGATAAGCACAGAGGCAGGCAAGGTTTATTCATTTACCCTAGATACGCTAAGGCAGGAGGCTTTCCTGAGGATGCCTGGCATATTTCTTCTCCCAGGTACTAGATACCAGCTATTTTTCCCCAGACATTGCCGACAGTCATTCCTGAAGAGCGAGGATACTACCAATTCACTTGAGAAGCCAGTAAATCCTCCTTGTTTACCCCACATGGGAGTTACCAGAGAACAGAGCTCAGCTCTTTCCTATCAATTCCACTCACTGCCTCCATTACTGTTATTACTGTGATTAAAAAGCAATCAAAGAGAAATCTTCTTCCTGTCCTGAAATTGCTGCAAACATCTCAGTTCCACCATTTAAGCATGAGAAGAGCAAGTTACAAGTGCACTCTGTGCTCCTGGACTCTGTGACACCAGACAAAAAAAAAATGAAGCTCATCGCTTGAACAGTCAGAGGCAGTGAGCAAGGCCGGCCGCACCGGCAGCGAGAGGATGGAGTAATGAACCTGGCAGCTGCAGGGCTGTGTCGTGCCTGCTTAGGGAATCCAGTCAGAGCAGCCCTGGCCACGCCATAATGAACTTCGCAGCCTGGAAAGCGTGGTCTGAGCTCAGCGCTGCTGCACGCCCAGCTCGGGGACTGAGGACAGCCAGCCCGGCTGGAGGAGACGGCATCGCTCGTCTCCCTCTGCTGAGGCAGACCAGGGGGGTTGGATCTGGGGTCAGGCATCAGCTCCTCATCCCAAGGAGAGCCCTGGGAGGGTGACGGGTCTCTCTGATCCGGAGAAGGGCAGAGGACGCTTGGACACCCCAAGCTGGGCTGTCGGAGCAAGGCTCAATGACAAAATTTACAGTCAGGGTGACTCAGAGGGAAGCGAGCGGCCCTGACACCTCTTCGGAGGGGCCTGGATGCCGATGAAATCAAGAGCAGCCTTCTCCCTCTTTCACCCCCAGCAATTTACAGTTTCCTGAAAGTTCAGGCTCCTGGGTGTAGCCCACGGGAGGCTCCTTCTCAGCACGGACTTTACCCGTAAACCTCCCCTGCCCGCCGGAGCAACCCCAGCCTCTCCCCCACTCCCCTGCACAGCTCTTTAGACCCAGCCTGACACCACCCCAAAGCACCCTCGCTGCAGCTCAAATCATTGTCGGGTCACGCGTGGGCGCACACCCACGAGTGGGCGCCGGGCGGCGCCGGAAGGTGACCAGGCGCCC